TCACTACACCTGGCATTTTAAAAAATTTTTTGTAGAAATGGGGTCTCACTATGTTGCCCAGGCTGGTCTCAAACTCGTGGCCTCAAGCAATCCTCCTGCCTCAGTCTCCCAAGTACCTGGGATTATAGGCATGAGCCACCACACCAGGCTCTTATAGGTCATTGCAATCACTTTGGCTTTGACTCCGAGTGAGATGATGTAGTAGCTACTGTTGTGGTGACCCAGATTCCTGCTTTCAGGACTGAGACATGTATTCACCCTGCTGCTAGGAATACTGGTGTTATCTTATATCTTATTATTGTGTTTTGTTTTTTTGAAATGGAGTCTCGCTCTGTCACCTAGGCTGGAGTGCAGTAGCACAACGTTGGCTCACTGCAACCTCCACCTCCCAGGTTCAAGCTATTCTCCTGCCTCAGCCTCCCAAGTAGCTGGAATTACAGGCATGTGCCACCACGGCAGTTAGTTTTTGTATTTTTAGTAGAGACCGGGTTTCGCCATGTTGGCCAGGCTGGTCTCGAACTCCTGCCCTCAGGTGATACGCCCACCTCAGCCTCTCAAAGTGCTGGGGTTACAGGTGGGAGCCACCGTGACCAGCCAAAATGTATGAATTTTTGATTTGGGGGAAAAGGTGATGTGAAACAGGAGAAGGAGGAAGAGCAGGGTGAGCTGCTGGTACGGGCATCCAGGGACCAGGGCTGGAACTGACAAGGGGCTGCAGGCAGGGCCATTACCTGCAGCTTCCTGTGCAGAGCGCCTGCGTGACAGGCTTCCCCCAGAGCCGCCTGCAGGGCGTGGGAGACCACGTGGCGCATGCAGGCCTCTGGTGTCTGCTGCTCCTGGGCCGCTTCGATCTCCAGTAGCAGAGCACTGCACACGGAGGCAGACACCAGCTCGGGATCCACGAAGAGGAACACTCTGAGGGCAGAGGCAGAGGGGAGAGGTGGGATTGATAGTAACTAATGGGAGAGGGGCCACCGGATGGGCACTGTCAGAGCTGTGCAGCACCCCCAAGTAATTTAATCCTGCTGAAAACAGGGGTCTCAGATTCGAAAGTCTCTAGGTGGGATGACAATAGGGAGTGGTGAGGACTGTGGCAAATAAGAGCATGCACTGCCCTTCTAGAGGGGCAGCTCTAATCACTGTCCACAGAAGACAGCAGGCCTAGTCCCGTGTCTAGGAAAGTTCCAGCCTCAATCCTGCTCCCTCTCTCAGCATCCTGGCCCAGGGACCAGGTCACCCTCTAGGAGCCAGAACTGGAATTCTGAGCTCTGAGTGGATCCCCTCTTCTCTCATCACCCTTATCACACCAGAGATCCGACCTCCCCTACTCCCTCCTCCTCACCCACTGTGTCTCCCCACCTCTCCCATGCTAAGTCCTCTGGGTGCCCTGGGCCTCCTTGCATCTTTCATGAACACAGCACCTCACACCCCAAACTCAAGCTGTGCCTTTCAGGGCCAAGTTAGTGGAGGTGCCTGCAGAAAAGGGAGGTGCCACTCCCAACTTCTTCACCCCTCTCCCCAGCCCGAGCAGGGGACACTTCCTCAGTCTTATCTAAGGGGCTGGGCGTCTCCCATGGAAGCCCTCGGGCTTCACTGTGCACCTGCGCCTGAGCCCCTCCGCTATGGCTATTCTGCAGTCTCCTCTGGCTGCCTGACTGGTACGATGCTGCATCATGGCCAAGGGCAGGATGGAGGTGGAATGACAGAGCTCCAAAGTGGCCCCGAGGTCATGTCCACCTTCTGCACGTGAGGCAGGTAGCTTCGAATCCAGTCTCAGAAGAAAGACCTATCCTGTGTTCAGCGGTCTCCAGAAAACAATATGACGCCAACCTTGAACTGCAAACGCACTCCACTGCTGGACAAATGCCAGGGCTGGGGAGTTCTGCTAGGGCTCTTCTTAATCCAGCCTCCTCTTCTGTCCTCCTGCCAGGGAGCAGTCACTAACGCCACAACACTTTTAGGAGGCTGAAGGGAGCAGTTTTTCTGGGGCCACTCACCTCTCCTGGTAGGGATACAGTTCATTCATCAAGTTCTGTTCGGCAATGACCATCCTTTGGTAGAGGGTCCCTGCAAACCAGACCACTTTGGCCAACCAGCCCCCAGGTCTCTCTGATTCCCATTCTCCACCTTCCTACAGAACGTGTGGAGGCTTTTGAGCCCCCTGGTATCCTGGAGAAAAAGGAAAGACCCTGGGCAGTGTTGGAGGTGCAGCATGGGAGACAAAGATGCCCGGTGACTCTCACCTGGGACGGCCGTCTCTGTTTTCAGCCTTATCGCGCAGTCCAAGGCGACTGTGCAGTAGGGGGTGGGCAGGGTCAGTAACCTCGTGCAAAAGGCGTAGATTCTCTGGTAGAGCTCCTCTGTGATTCCTGTGGCCTGGGTGAGAGGGAGGAGGGGGAGGTGAGAGGGAGGAGGGGGAGGTAAGAAGGAGGAGGGGGAGGCGAGAGGGAGGAGGGGGGTGAGAGAGAGGAGGGGGAGGTAAGAGGGAGGAGGAGGAGGAGGTGAAGGGTCCCAGGGGAGTTTCCGGGGCGGGGCTTGGGAGAAGAGGTGGAAGGTCAGGCCTAACAGCCAGACCTGGGCTCACAGCTCTCTCCCAAACCCACACCTTCCAGCCTCTTCTCCCAGCACCTGTAAGACATCCCTTTGTCACCCCGCCCCAACTTACCAAGATAAAAATTCATTGCATCAGTTCTGCAAGCAAATCAACTTCCTCCCAGCCCTCCTGCTCT